ATGTTGAAGTGGTAAAGGAGGCTCCCATTTGACTTGAGGAAAGAAGATAGAGCTTGAAAGCGGACTCAGCCCAAATATTCATCAAATGGTTTCCAAAAGGAGTGTGGCAGGAGTACGTTATGGCGGGCTATCTGCATACTATCCGTCACGCTGCGATGCTGAAATGAGTTTCGAAAGCTCCCCTACAGGGTACTACTGTCTTCGCTACCTCTAGAGGTAAAATTGGCCGAATTTTTAAGTAGATGCTAAAAGGATTTTGGGAGGAAATTGGAAATAGAATTCTAGAGAAGTCTCGTCATACTAACCTCAGAAATGTCAACGAGACCGATTTGTGGGCCTTCTTCGATGTCGATACCGAACATATCTTCCCATACATCAACCATCAATGGGAACTCATCTGGAAAACATTTCTTAGCTTACCACATCATTACCACGAATAATTGGAGAAGAGGATTGCTGTGAGGTAATCCAGATTTCTTTGCGAATGTTATTTTATGAGGAAGGAAGCTGGAATAGGTCTAATAACAGTCCATTGTAAGAAAGCTGAAACCCAGTAACCTTGCGCCATTCTGTTAGGTTTCTAGAAAAATGCAACACAACGGAATAATCACGCCGTCCGCGTATGGATATTTCGGGGTCTTATCGTTACCACTTTATGACCCTATTCTCCCCGTTTGAGAACCAAAAATACTACCAAAACTCACCAGGATCGATCAGTACGATTTCCAGGGTACCAGCATGTTCAGCGTTTTCGTCAGCAATTTTGTCAAGAAGTTTCTTCATGGCACGTCCCTCACGGGTTTCCTCGTCGACGAACGCGAGAATCAGACGCTCATCTTCTTCTGGATCCTTCTATAAAAACTCGACTGCTCAGCGGTAATAAATGTTTTGAAAAATCGAACCAATTGGTAATTAAAACGGTAAATCAGATAGATGGGTAAATCCTTACCCAAACGTTGAAATAATTCTCGAGAGTTAACTTTTGCATCACAGGCTCTCTATGCTTCTCGACCCAATCCTCGAATTCTTCTTCTGAAACAGGACAATACTAAAATTAGCATAAAAAAGTGCCGTAAAGTACCACTTTCACATTACAACGTTATCTAACTTACAAATTTCAACATCTTTCCAGCGCAGTCAATGAACAATGAAACATAAAATATATCCACACAATAATTACTTTGTTAAGCGATATCAAGTGTAAAATACTTAGATACCTGTATCAGCAGATGATGGAGCAAAAAGTGGATCTTCTTCGAATGGTCGAAGCATCTGCACTTCGCCAACCCGTTTTAGTCCAACCTTACGAGCCCACTAAACAGTGATGGGTTGAAAGAGTTTACCAAGGCTTCAGCTTGTAGTATTGCTAGTTGCCTACCTTTGAGGTGACAACAGCGAAGAACTCGATTTCGCCCATAAAGTCTTCGGCGGCCTCCTCGAACTCTTTCAGAGCTGAAATATCGACACTGGTGTGTGAGGAGAAAGAGCACCAGGTGGGCACTCACTTCGCACGAAATAAGAAAACGTCTTTTTTTTAATGCACAAAATATTTCTTAAGAATCAGTGAAATATTGAGCAGAACAGTTCATGGAAAGTTTCAGGAAATTACTCCACACTATAAATTTGTGAGAAGATATTCAGGATTCGTAGTCTCCAGGTTGAACCCGGAGCTAAAATCCATAGCGCAAATAGCCAGTTTTCATGAATTTGGGAAAATGTAGGAATTGTTCCCTATCCAATCCCTTCTAGCAAGTTCTGTTCAAAAAAGATAATTTTCAAGTGAAAAAAAAACTCCAAAGGAGAGGAACATGCTGCATGTTCCACACGGCGTCACGTGTTCTACCGTTTGCAGGCGATTGCGGTGAAACGCATCAGGCAAAAACTTAGCATCAGTGCCGCGAATGGAATACAAAAAAATTCAAAAACTCAAGTTTGATCACTTTCTCATCAATCTACAATTTCGTTACTTCCGCGTTATGGCGACGCATGCGAACTCGCGGTGAGCTTTTAAAGGCACATTCCGCGATAAAATAAGGCTATGACCTCTCAAATGTGTCGGACGATCCGGAAGGCGATTTTTGAGGCTGCGCTACTTTCAAAATGTGAAAAACGGCAAGAACTCCGCTAGAAGCTGACTAATTAGGCCCATGGACACCCCTTAGGCCCATGCCGACCCTCACCGGCTGCTAGCTACTAGCTAGTAGCCACTATGTTATCTTTCTCTATAACATTTCGGACTGCTTTTTCTGCTGCTTTTCTCCGCTAATCAGATACTTAGCACTTTTTTGTGCCTATTTGAGTTCCGTTTCCCGCAATTTGCGGTCGCGAACTGTGCCTTTAAATAGTTGTACAGTAGTGCCTTTTGAACGACATTGCTGGTGCGAATGCCGCGCGCGTGGAGCATGGACATGCGTTGCCGCAAGGCGAAAATGTCGTTATTAGCCCATAG